GTGACTTACAGCCGCACTCAGAAACGTTCCTTAAATTAGCTCTAACGGGCACTTAACTAATGATCGTTAAATCTGTTAATTAATGTTTCCTCTCAGAGTTAAAAATTATGAAATAAAAAATGTTATGGTACGCAGTGAGTGCAGGCGGCATGACACAATGGGGTGCACTGTGGCTAGTCATGTCGGCTGGGCGGGGTTCTTGCCTCACTACTGTTCCCTGCGCCATAGCAGAGAAAAGTCATGCCTGTCAAACATCCCAACGGACGGACACACAACAATTCAAAAATTCAAAAATTACAAAAAATCCGTTACATAATAAAAAAAAGCTGGAAAAAGAACGTTAAATTAAAACATTTAAATTAAACTGAAAAATCAAAAGAAAGCAGAATCCAAACTAAAACTGAAATAAAAAATGAACCATAACAAAAAAAAACTAAGGCCGAATATGAGGCACCGCCGCTGGTATTGTGGTGCCTGGTGCTGGCCCACACTCAACCGTGGCTGCTGCCGCACCCTAAATATCAGCAGCCCCATTATAAAATTCCTAATGTGCGCCCCTAAGGAATGAGTAAAGTCAGCATTCCCATTTTTAACTTATAGTTTTATTTATAATTCATTTTCTATAACTAAATTAATCATATTTCTTAAAGCTAATTCCTATCATCTAAAACTGGTAAGTATATTTACTTAACCTACTAGGTTGGTATGTCTCTTTAGTCTAAAGCAATTGTGTTAATCGCAAGAGGGTAAGGTAAGTATAGGTAACTAGAACTGAGGTAAATACATGAGATAAGTGTTTACCCTAAAGTTAAATCTAATTAAGTGAACTAAGTTAAGGCTAGCTAAGTATATCTAGTATTTTCACAAAAAAATTTATATCAAGTAATAGTGGGTAAAAAGTTCAAGTAGGTAATATCAGGTAAGTAGTCGCAAAAATGTGGGATAGGTAGGAAAATCAGGAAGGTACGTCTGGTATGTAGTTCAGGTAAGTGAATTAAATAGGAAACTCGGGTGAGTAAGTCAAAGTAAGTAATTCAGGTAAGTAGGTCAAGTTAGCCTAAGGTACTTATAGTTAAGTCTTAGTTATAGTTCTCCTAAATTTAATTTAATTTACGGGCTTTCTACATTCATTTGTTTTGGTTTTGGGTTCACGTTATTTAATTAATTCCTTTTAGTCTTTCTTTTCTATTTATTCCTCTTTCCTGTTTGGTTTATTATTGTTATTAGTATTATTACTTATTAATATTAAGTTTTTGTTATATAGTGGCCTTTTTTATGTTAATTTACATTTTCTTTAAGTTTCAGTTAATTAAATATTTTAGTCCCGGGTTAGCTTTGTTTTCGGTTTTAATCTAATTCAATTTAATTTCATTCATTTATTAGTATTTTATTTAAGTAAAAGTTTTTTTTTGTTTAATTTGTTTATTTTATTTTATGAATATATATAGTCCGTTCTAGTTTATTTAAAATTTGCATTTACATATTAACTAAGTCGTTTTTTTTCCTTACTAACTTCAGCCCTAATGTCAGTTACCCGCTTCTCATTAATTCCCCTTTTTAACAATTCAAATTACTTCATCACCTTATTACTATATTATTAAGCTCTTTTTACCAGTTTAGTTAGACCTATACTAGAATACGGATCTATTGTTTGGAATCCCCGCTACCAAGTTCATACAGAAAGGATTGAATCAATTCAAAAACAATTCTTCTTCAGATTACAATCTCCCCCCTTACACAAGTCGTCTAAAGCTCATAAATTTGCCTACACTCGCAAG